AGAAACATGCGCCGCCGGCCGATGCATTCACTCTTTTTTGGCGCCGTGGCGGTGGCGCGACTCCGAGCAAGGTCTGTGGCGGGCGTCGATCTTCGTCGAACGCCGCAAAGGTGACAAAAACTCTGGCTGATCACCGCCGGGAGCTCTGTCGTCAGGGTGTCGTCGTCTCCGACCAACGCCGGATCCAAAGAAAACCCCGTCGGAGCATAGCTGCCCAGCGTCGGGGGGGCGGTTTCAGCGCCGCCCTGTGCCCTTGAGGCCTTCGCACGCCGGGCATTTGTGGCTGCCGGAGGCGCCGTGGGCGCCGCGGCTGCGCCGAGGGCGATAGGCCGTCGCGGTGCGGCACATGGGTGCGTGCACCAGCCAAGTCGTTCCTCCTTGCCGTGCCGCACCGTGATGCGTGCTCCGGCCACGCCCGCAGGCAAGCGTCGGAGGAACGGGTATAGTCCGCCTCTGGCGGGTCTTCGCCACGCCGTGGCGTCGCGGGCCTGGGCAGGGCGCCGCTCGGAGCTGGCCCGGGAGGCGTAGGCGAAGCGCCGAAGATGTGGCGGCACCGCCGTCTCTTTTTGGCTGACTCCATCAGCCGTTTGTACTCGAAGTACGCCGGGGAAATGTGGCCGACTTCCTCCGCCGTCCACGGGGTGCTGCCCCACCGCCGCGGATCATATGCCTCATACTGGCGCCGCTCATGGGCCGATGCCTCCCTTCGCCGCCTCTCTGCCCGCATGGCCTCCGTCGGTACAGAGGACCGTGGCGGGCGTCGGCAGGCGGCCGGCGGATGTAGGGGAACTCCTGGTTGCCCGCCGCCGCCGCAATCCTGGCCATGGCCTGGTCGTGGAGCGGGTTTTCCCAGGGGACGTCGCCCCAGTCGGCCTGGGCGGGGGCCGCACCCGTAGCGGGGGCCACGCCCGCCGATGCTGACGCCGAGTTGATCCAGGAACTCGCTGACGTCGAGGCTGCCTCTGCCCTTCCTGGCCCTCGCCGGGGGCTGGGTGATAGGAACCTCCGCCGCAGAAGCCGCGGCTGCCATGTGACTCGCCGAGGTGCTCGAGGCCGGTCCGTCGTAGGGGTTGGGCGTCGGCGGCTCCGCCGTCTCCAGGTTCTCTGCCGAGGCCAGTAAAGAATGGGCGTCGACCACCCGACGCCGAGGAGGAGTCAGGGCGAGCCTGCGTCGCCTGCACATTCAACACCGCCACAATCTCCCTGGCGTTGGGGGGCCCCCGTCGCGCCGAGTGCGCGGGTGTCGCCGTCCCAGAGGATGGCATCGAAGTCAGCGCCGCCACCTGCCATGTGTCAGCCCGGGATGCCAACAGGGACGCCGCCTTGGCCTTGGTGGCGACGTCGATGAAGTAGTCCTGTGGCGCCGGGGTCGCCGTGCCCGATGCCGGTACTGAGGGTGGCGCCGATGGCAGTGGGGCCAAATCTTGCGGAGGCGTCGCCTTCACGATCGCTGGCGTCGATCTGCCTGAAGGCGTCGGTGCTGTAGCCATCGGGGTGGGAACCGCCGCCACAGGGGAACCCACGGGCGGGGACCCAACCCCCGCCGTGTCGACCACCACAGGCTGGGACATGAGCACCTCGTCGTCGGCATCTTCGTCGCCCTCAGGGATGGGCGTCGGCACAAAGGGCATGCTGTCAGTGCCGCCGGTGCCCCCCGCTGCTTCCGCCGCGACCTCCGCCGCAGTCTCCATCGTCGATCCTTGTACCATGCCAACCATCAGCTGGCTCGCCGCGTGGCCGGCGTCGATCAGATCGGTCATTTGGTCCGTCGACAAAAGACCAATGACCGGCACCCAACCGGTGCGTCGAGCCGCCGCCAGGGCCTGGGCCCATCTCGGCAGCCGTCGCTGGAGGGAGAGCCATGACCGCCGAAGGCACGAAAGGATCTAGGAGAAAAGCTTTTGGCGAAAGGTCGCGTCGAGCCAGAGTGCTGAAGGCAGCTACGCCGTTCACGGTTGTTACTACGCACACAAGTGTGCTTCACGACATGCCCGGAATGGTGGTTCCAGTAGTCATAGTAGACGTAGTAGTAGTCGTCGTCGTTGCAGTCGTAGTAGTAGTAGTAGTAGTAGTAGTAGTAGTAGTAGTAGTAGCAGTAGCAGTAGCATTAGCAGTATAGTAGTAGTAGTAGTAGAAGTAGTAGCAGTAGCAGCAGTAGTAGTAGTCGTAGTCATAGTCGTAGTCGTAGTCGTAGTCGTAGTCGTAGTCGTAGTCGTAGTCGTAGTAGTCGTAGTAGTCGTAGTAGTCGTAGTAGTCGTAGTAGTAGTTGTAGTAGTAGTAGTAGCAGTAGTGGTAGCAGAAGTAGTAGTAGTACTAGTAGTAGTAGAAGTAGTAGTAGTAGTAGTAGTAGTAGTAGTAGTAGTAGTTGTGGTAGTAGTAGTAGTAGTAGTAGTAGTAGTAGTAGTAGTAGTACGCGCCCTGCGCGAATTTGACGCCGTGCTTTTTGTGCATTCACATGCAGAAAAGCACGGCAGGGACGACATTTCAGCATTCACACACTGCTCCGAGCCGAGCGCCCTGACACGTGGTTTTTTTGGTTCGAGTGGAAGTCATGCCTCAAGCGAAGCATGCTTGCCGGCTGTGCGGTCAGACGGGACACCGTCAGGAGACGTGTCCGTGATCTCAAGGCTATGATGACATTTTGTATCACTGTGATGATGATGTTCATGAATATGATGATTTTGATTGTTACTGCTATGATGATGATGGTGAGTGTTATGATGACGATGATGTTGAGTACATTGATCTTGAGTGGTACTGTTGTGATGATGATGTTGATGAGTAAGATGATCTTGAGTGCTGCTGTTATGATTATGTTGATGAGTATGATGATGTTGTTGAACATGCTCGCGATTAGCCCCCCCACCCCCCACCCCAGGTCAATGATGATGTTGATGAGTATGATGACGTTGATGAGTATGATGATGTTGATGAACATGCTCGCGATTAGCCACGCCGCCCCCCCCCCCCACCCCCCCACCCACCCCCAGGTCACCCATGTTTTCGCGGCAAAGGAAATACTGTAAATACCAGCACATTCAGACCGGCAAACAAAGTCGTGCAAGTCCTAAAGACAGGTGCTATGACTGTATTTTAGGTCGTTAAGGCGCTCGGGTCTGCATGGTCCCTGTTTAAAGAGATAAAGACGCATAAACACGGAAATACTGTAAATACCAACACATCCAGGCCCTCAAACAAAGTCGTGGAAGTCCTAAAAACAGGAAAACATGGCGTCAAATAAGGCCAAATCCCGTAGTAGTAGTAGTAGTAGTAGTAGTAGCAGTAGTAGTAGTAGTAGTAGCAGTAGTAGTAGTAGTAGTCGTAGTCGTAGTACTGGTAGCAGAAGTAGTAGTAGTAGTAGTAGTAGTAGTAGTAGTAGTTAAGAGTATGATGAGCAGTAGCAGTTGCAGTGGCAGCAGCAGTAGTCGTAGTAGTAGTAGTAGTAGTAGTAGTAGTAGTAGTAGTAGTAGTATTAGTATTAGTAGTAGTAGTAGTAGTAGCAGGAGTAGTAGCAGCAGTAGTAGCAGGAGTAGTAGCCGTAGTAGCAGCAGTAGTTGTAGTAGTAGCACTAGTACCGGTCCTAGTACTAGTACCAGTACTAGGAGTGGGACTTTGAGTAGGAGTGGGAGTTGGACTGGGAGTCGGCGTAGGAGCAGGAGCAGAAGTGATAGGAGTAGTACCAGTACCAGTACTCGTACTAGTACTAGTACTCGTACGATGATTGTTCTTAGTCGTCTTATTCTTATTTTTGCTCTTATGACTACTGACACCATTTTGAAGACGATGATGATGAATACCCTAATGTTGTTGATATGAATATTCCCTTCAACATTATCACAAGTTCTATCATGATTAACACTTTCGAACGATCACGACTATGATTAGCCAAAAGTTATCATTATCATCATCATTACTAATACTAACCATATTGCGAGTACTAAGAACACTGCTTCTAAAAACAATACAAATACTTAATACTATGATTGGTATGTACTATATCTTGGCCGAAAGCGCAGTTAGCTTTTTTCATACTATGAACAGCACGTGGATCGTGCATATCACGAATATTGTGAATGATGAACAGATTTCATGTCTCTGATACTGTCATATTGTTCAAACTATTTATATATGACTATACAATATCAGCATTGTGAAAACTATTGATGTGATCAAGGTTGCCCATACTACTTTTCATATAAACATACGAAGTAATGACAACAATGAATTGAATAGCATTGTTATGAATTATGATTATTACTGTGGGTATTCTTAGTAGCTTAGCTAACTCACAGTGCTCGTATTATTGGAATCATCGGTATTAACAGTCCTACAGGTAGTACGATTAATGCTATGACTGTTTGCTATTACTAACTATTTTGAGTACATCTACTATTATTGGTGCTGTTGCTGTTACTAATGCAGTTGCCGTTGCTGATGTTGCTGCTGATGCCGTTGATGCTGTTGATGCTGTCGATGCGGCTGATGCTGTTGATGCTATTGCTGCTTGTGCTCTTCTTGGTGATGTTGCTCTTGCTGCTGTTGCTGTTGCTATGGTTGTTATTGTAGTTGCTGATGCTGTTGTTATTGTTGTTGCTGATGCTGTTGCTGTTGTCGGCTGCGGCGGCAGCGACAGTGGTGGTGCTGTTGGTGTTGTTGTTGCAGTTGTAGCAGTTGTCGTTGCTGTGGTCGTTGCTGTTCTTGATGTTTGTGTCGTTGCTGTTGCTGCGGTTGCTGTTGCTGCTGCTGTTGCTGCTGCTGTTGCTGCTGCTGTTATTGCGATCACTATCGTTGTTAATTATTATTGTGATTTATATGATGATCAGGCTTTCAGGCTTTCTCTTGTTGTTTCTTCCAGGAAAACAAGAAGCAGAAGAGGAATAATAACACTTAAACAAAGAATGACAAAAGTGAAATGACGAGACCTGGAAGACCATTTCAGGCGCAAAGATAAAGTAAAACCAAGAACGCAAATAAGAACTCTTCAACACATGCCACGGGGCCGTTCTATCGCTGTTGCGGTGCGTCGCCTTTGTCCGCTTTGCAAAGCCTTTAGCAAGGAAGGAATGAATGCCAAGTGACCGACGCCAAACGAGACGGAATTTGTTAAACGCATGGTGCCGAGATCCGCCGAGGCTCGATTGTTGGCAGAAGCAAGCTTGCTCAGTGCTCCCTGATACCGGGCATGCAAGTTGTACTGTCCTCGCAGACTAGCAGACTCAGAAACTAATCCTCGGGCAACTTTGCAGCGCTTCGCTGCTGTCCTTCCCATCCTTCAAGGCCATTGATTGCTTGGATGGTCGCCTGGGTGTCCGGGTGGTCTGGTCCCATCATCGATACTTGTGCCTGAAATACTTCCTCAGCATCCGCATATGCATGTCCGCAGAAGTGTTGAGACAAGCACTCCGATGTTCAAGCGACGTTCACTTCAACAAGGAATGCTGACAGCTTTCACGGGCTGCAGCGGTGAGGAAAAAACCTGCAAAACTAAACTTCAGCCAAAATACACAGCAATGCCGATAGGAGGCAGAGCAAGCACAGCACTGGGCCGCAAAGCGCCAACTGTGTGACGATGTTGCTTTTTTCTTTGCTTCTTGCTACGCTGTGGCTGTCATCTACAGGATTTTTCACCCCCAAACTGTCCTTCGAACTAAACCCCATCTGAGCACGAGCCTAGGATGGCAACTTCCGAGCAGTCTGCTGGGTGCTGCATTTCCGCTGGATTTCTGCGACGGGTTGAGCCCGAAGCGAAGAGAGGGGGGGGCATAGGCATGGCCGCCGAGCCACCTCCAGGTCCAGCAAGGCCTCCGGCTTGGACATCCTCTGGCGGAGAGCTCCTGCAGAACGGCCAAAGTTCCAAGGCTTCGAACTTAAGACCAAACGAGCCAGCAGCACCGACACAAGCTACAGCAGACAAACTGCAAAGTCACAAAGAACGTGTCAAATGAATGAATTTGTTAAATGTAAAAGCTACGAGCACTGACATGCGCAGGTCAGCTCACTTGCCCAACAAATGTTTACCCATCCGCCGTCCACTCAAATAGCCGACAGCTACATGCGAAAACGTTGAAACCGTGTATTCGACCGGTGGTTGGAAGGTTACGCTGTATCTAGCGACAGCAGGTCAGGGATCACGAGAAGGAACGACTGCATACCGACCCTGAGCCGCAATAGCCTGCAGACGAAGAGAGCCGAGCATTCGGCGGCAAAGGCAAAGGACGGAGGGAAGGAGCGCCAACAGACAAACAGACACACACGGTAGGTGATACGGCCACGACGTCCTCACCGCCACGATGGGACGGTGAAACACAGAAGACTCGAGCCGAGCTTGATGCAAAGGCACGATAGCTCAACGGCAGGATTTTGTGATAATTCCCCGCATCAAATGATGGCATCAAGCTCTGCATACTCGAACTCGACAATTTCAACAGTACACTGCATGCAATAAAAGAACAGAGCACGCAGAAATCTCATGGTTTGTGCAATCCTTTGGTCTCGGGGGGTCAGGGGACACAGCTAAAGTTCCCTCAAAACGTCAACAGCTGACCTTTATGGGGGGCCGTTGCACCGGAGCTCCCAAAATTGCAACTGAACAAAGTGCCTAACAACCATCAGACGCACGCATTTTTGTGAGGTGGCGGAGCGGATCACTAGCCAACCCAACTTTTCTTAAATTAGGAATCTGCACTCAATCGTTTTCCGCCCATGGCAAGCATTGTTCTTGTAGCAAAAGAGAGCTGAAGAGAGGTAAAATCCATAATCGAAATCCAGCTCCTCAGCGGAAGCTTTACAAATCGAGCTCCTTCAAGAGAGCTTTACAAATCGAGCTCCACCGCGAGCTTTACAAATCGAGTTTCACTGTTCACAGGATAACAAGTGCACGATTCCTTGATCTGAAATGTGAAACTTTACGAACAGATTACCTCCTTCCGAGCTCCACCGCGAGCTTTACAAATCGAGTCCCCTCACGCAGGTAGCTCAGCTTCCCGGGCGGAGAGGGTGGGCACAGAAAGCAGAGCTACAGAGCCGAAACATTTCGGCACATTCCTAACTCACGAAGCGTGTATCAAGGAATCTGCACTCAATCGTTTTCCGCCCATGGCAAGCATTGTTCTTGTAGCAAAAGAGAGCTGAAGAGAGGTAAAATCCATAATCGAAATCCAGCTCCTCAGCGGAAGCTTTACAAATCGAGCTCCTTCAAGAGAGCTTTACAAATCGAGCTCCACCGCGAGCTTTACAAATCGAGTTTCACTGTTCACAGGATAACAAGTGCACGATTCCTTGATCTGAAATGTGAAACTTTACGAACAGATTACCTCCTTCCACGTCCCCCTCTACTTCGCGTTACGCGGGTAGGCTCAAGCCTGCTCAAAGTTGCTGTCCAAAATTGCAGCAAAGCTTGTTGTTTTACAGTTGGCTTGAATGAAAGCTCAGTCAAGAGGGCCACCGAATCTTGGATATAGACCCGAGTGGTCCTCTCGGAAGACCAACGTCCTCTCTGGCATACAGTAGCGTACGACTGTGTTTCTAGAAAGACCTGAGTGGCCCCTCCCCGCCGCAAACTATACGGCTTGTACGGAACATGATGCAATCCCGTGGCAGTCAACGCTCGCGCAAACCATTGTCGAAATGATGTTGGGGAAATGGAGACCAGAAGGGCATCAGGACGATGTACAGCCTTCCAAGCTTGCAACAACAACGAAATTTGTCGATGCCTGAAAGACGTGGTTTCAGTACTAGCATTACGGGCTCCCATCTTCGTTTGACCAAGATGCAACAAGCACATATCACCCGTACAAACAATGTGTTTAGCCTGAATGCTGAAAAGCTCTCCCGTTCGCAGGAGACCGTGGAAAGCCACTAAGAGGCCAAGGGCCAGCTCAGGAAAATGCTGCTGAAACCAGCCTGCCAGCAGGGCAAGCGTAACAGGTGTCAAAGGCGGTGCTCGAGTGGGAATCTCATGTTGTTGCCATGCACGGATTAACCGCCAACTTTCGAGTAATCTACGTTTAAGCTGGGGTTCGAAATGCTGCAATGCAGACAAAGTATCCTGTGCAACGTATTTGGACTCCCCTTCCTCCCAACATTCTTGTATGTACTGCGCTGCCACTCGATCGACTTGAGTGGCATCGGTGGGCATCGGTAGCCGGTTCCACCTGAGGAATTCGAAGAATAATCGCATGGCAGATTCATAGCGGTTCTTTGTGGCTGGTTGAATCACTAAGTCTTTGAGTTTGCCTAGTTGTTGTCGACGGGTTTTCCTGATATTTCGGGTACGACCTTCAACTACCCCACGCTTGCGTTGGACCATTTTCTCTTTACCCCTCGGCGCGAGGGGGCATCTGCTGGGTTTTGACCTGTGTCGACGTACCCCAAAATACAAGAATTACCCGACAACAACAACCATGCGCTAATTTTCCTCATAATGCTCCTCAGCTTGTGGCTGGAGCTGCGCCCTTTATTCACGATGTGGAGTGAAACTAAACTGTCCACCAGATGTAGAAACCTGGAGTTTGTCAGCTTCGTTTTCATGATCCTCCACTTAATCGCTGTGAGGGTTGCCCGAAGCTCCAGTTTGTTTATGTGTTCCTCGCCCTGGCCTTCTCTAGGTGGCTTCCAACGCCAGCTGCAGGCCGTTCGCCATTTCCAGAGCTTTGACGGTACTGAAGTACGCAATCTGTCATAGGACTTCAAGGGTTCACTGGGTGCTTGGATTAACACATCTGTGCCCCTCGTAGACATAAGGGAGCCAAGCTTACAAATCAACAACCTGTCATTCTCAACCACCTTTGCCGTTTGTGTCCGCATCCAAGGTGGGCGGGTGAGGTAACTTCCCAATTCGGGGCCTCGGCCCGGCATGCACCGCTGCTGGATAGCCTGCGCAGAGAGCGGCTCACAAAGCTTGAAAGGCCCCAACAGCTGAGCGAGAAGGAAAGCCACTACAGGAACAGACAACGAGTTTCCTAAAAGGGACATGCGAGTGTCTTCATGACCTAGAGGATTGAGTTTCCGTTTGGATTTGGACCAGCACTGCAGTGTATAGTCAAGAGGAAACCCCAACATGGCTTCCCTCTCGTTGACGTTTGCAAGGCGCCACCCGTGCTTTGGGTCCAGTACCCCATGTTGATATCGGTATTGATATGGGGGGAAACGGAACCGATCACTCTCCCAATAGGTTAGATCTCGAACACTGCACGATTCAAGGCCTGCTGATGTCGACCCTGGGCTCTTTTTGGGCTGAGACGTGGTGAATGTGGGAAGTTTTTGCTGGGAACCTCCTGCCAGCTTACAACCTGGAGAAAGAAAGTCCTGAGCACTGCAATCTAAATCAAAATCCACCTTGCCATAATCCCAGGATGACGTGGATGCTGGAGTTGTGATTGTGACTCCCGATTCCGCCTGAACAACCCAATCGAACCAAAACAGCCGTGTCCTGCGACAAGGTGTTATACCTACGGCATCCACCTCATACGGGAGCAATCCGATGGACTTGGTAATGCATGCTCTATCATCATCTGACGCTGAGGCAACACACTCCATCATGATATGAACTCTTGCCCACGAAAACTGTTTCACAAGCAACTCACGAATCCGGTTGAAATCCTGGTGCAAGCTGAAATGTGACACATCCTCGGAGCTTAAACAGGCACTAGTTTGGCAAGGGGGGCCTCCCGTTAACAGGACAAGCCCCGCCCTCGAGAACTTGCATGCCCAACCAGTCACCACATCTTCAGAAACATCCCGTATGCACTCAATAAAATCAGTGGATCCAAAAGCCGATTCCACCACGCGCCTGGCGTCAACATCAGGCTCGACCGATATGTAACCGGCCACCTGAGCGCCCACGACATCTAGAGCGACTCGGCACGCTGCAATCCCATCAAAAAGAGATACAACCAGGACATGCTCATCATCCGGCATTCGCTCAGCGACTCCCCGAATTGGCTTTGAAGCAGCTGCTGCTCCAAAGTGTGTCAAACCCACCGTGTATGACAAACCGCCACCGGACTCTGATGCATCGCTGGCGGTAGCCATTGCGTCATAGGGAGCTCGTAGGTTCATCACTGCCAAAGGCGCTAACGACATGCTGCAAAAAATCTCGCGTTTTACAGCCTGTGGAATCTCCTTCCACTGGTGGAGGCAACCTTTGAAGTCCGCGATAAATTTCCAAACTTCGTTTAGGCAACTCATCAAACATCTACGGTAACTGAAAAGATAAACCAAACCACCAGCTACGGTCTGAATTCTTTTGAGGTCTGTTCGGCGAGATTGCAAGAGGTACCACGCGCCTCGGAGGTAGCGTGCTATCTTATCCGGCTTTGGTGAAATAGTACCTTTCACACCATCCACCAAAGCACCCTGCATCTCACCACATAACCCCGATTTCACCGATTTCTTCTCGTTGACGGGAATTTTTAGCTCTTCATACACCTGTCTAAGCTCAGAAGCCAAGGGACCCAGCTGACCCTCCAGGAGGTGCGAGGCCTCCCGATTGGTTCTTGCAAGTACGTCGAAATTGTCTAAATAGACACGATAAGCAGTTGCACTGGAAGGCAGAGGTTGATCTCGGCGAATTTCGGCGTCTCGGCTTATCCCGAACCTATCAACCGCACAGTTCACGATCTCTCGGTGCAATGCTTGAGCGATGGCAACAGAGTTGATGAACCCCATTGGAAGAACTCTGCTACACAGCACGCACGGCCCCGCGCCTGGAATGGCAAGATTTTGTGGGACCTCCCTCCCGAATGCTAGGAGGGGGCGCCACACATCGGGCAACCCTACAATGTAGAACATTGCCTTTATATCCTCCGATGACAGTAGGACATTCTCATCAGTAAAGATTTCTAGCGGAAACAGCTGACTCAACATAGGAAGAGTTCCCAAATCGCCCGCAATCGATTCAAAGCACTGGTTGATGGGTCGAAGATCCATGATGAGACGCAACACTGGAATGCCCTCTGCCTCCTCCATTTTGGGAACGCCGAAAAGGCCGCCAAGGATGGGTTTGCCATCCACATGCAGAACCTTGCTGAGAGGAATCACATCACAAATGCCTCTCTCCACGAGGCCATTGGAAACCTCCTCCCACTGATCATCCTTAACCATGACTCTTGGACACTTCATCCAAGTTCTGGCGCAATCAGGTTTGAGATACTTTTCAGGATGCTTTAGGAAATCCTTGACCCCTCCTTTGGCAATCTCCACTCCATCAAGAACACCTGCCACATCCTTGCTGGGCAGGCTATGCTTTATGTTGGCCCATGCAAAAGATGACGCGCAGTGAATTTCTTCACCATAGCCGTTCACACTGCGGCCTTTCCAATAATCCTCGATCGGAGTTTTATCGAAGTTCTGCACGCGCCAATGTGTCACATGTTCAAGATTTGAGCTTAAGATTTGCAACAAGGAGGATTGGCGCTCACTTAGGCTTCGTTTGGTCTGATCGAACCTCCCAACTGACAACCAGTTCAATGCTTTCACAGCGATCCGCAGCCATTCAGAGTGCTCTGAGAGGGCATCCCTCTCCGGCACAGGCAGAGGAAAAACCTCTGCCGAGAGTGAATGCTTGCCTGGGCCTATACCATCTCGCTCCAAATCCTTTGAGCTTACAGAGTCAACCCACTCATTCAACAGTTTCCCTAACTGACTCAGAGGACCCACTAAGTCAAAAGGCAAAGCTGAGGGGGTTCCCTCCCGTGGGGCAGGAGTGTTACACCCTTGGACAGCCGAAGCGCGAGCTTGCCCTACGATCCCCCCTGGTGTTGAAATCACTTCCGAATTTGGGATGGTGGGTCCGACTCGGCTGGGTGCCGCCGCGATCAAAAAATCACTCACTCCCTGACCTGCACCACTTCCGTTGATAACGCATGTGCTCCCTTCGGATTCGGAGGACGAAATTTCGACCACCCCTTTCCTTTCGTCTCCTTCCCGGTCTCCTTCCCCTTCCCGAACCTGATTTCTTTGCCGCCTTTGGGGTTGGCTTCTTCCCAATTTCGGTTTGCCCATGACTGATCCCACTTCCCCTTTCCGCGTGGTGTCCAAGAGGCCTTGGCTTTGTCCTCTCGCCTTTGTTCCTGTGCGGCTGAGCGTGCTTCTTCGGTGGATGCCAAGGCTGAGACTTCGGTGGGGATTAATTCCAAGCGATTGGCGAGGTGGGGTGCAGATCCCTGGGCTATTTGCTCTAGGGCTTTCATACGCTGGACGGCGTAATCCACCATCTTCAAAACACTGCCCTCGACAATAGAATCCACGCACGTCGCTAATGTAAGGTACTCTCGTCTCATGGGGGCCGAATTGCACGACGGAAGGAACACCTGACGAAAATACTTGACAAACACCGGTTGCACCTCGCTGTTCTTGGCATCCTCTCCCACTCCCATGCATAGCCTTTTCTGAGCTGTTCGCATTGCATATCGGGCGAGCAAGCCGGGACACTTGCGCGCGATGTGTTTCGCCTGAGCCTCCTCGGGAAACAAGTCTTCCTGATCGGAATCCGCATCTGAGAGGCTCAGCTTTGAATTGGAGCTGCTGGAGCTGGCCTCTCGCTTCCTTTTCAAACTGATCTTGGGCCTTTTGAACTGGGGGTCTAGAGATGAGTTTGTCCAAGACCAACGACTCTGTTGCAACATTGCTTTCACTCGAGCGGCTCCTCTCAACCGTTTGGGTGGAACCTTTGCGGGAGTCGGAGCTTCTAGGGCAGGAGGAGGATTGGGGCCTACTCCTCCCGCTCCGTATCCCATGTCCTGGGCTAGCGCTTCGAGACCTTGCAATCCTGCTCCTTGCCGTATGAGATCTATCAGATTTGACTTCCACCCTAATGACGGGTCTACTTCTCTCACGTCTTGAACACAAAACAACCCCTCGACCTCGGCACTCAAAGGTTTCGCAAGGGGCTTGTGATTCGCAAAAAACTCTCCGGTGTGAGCTTGTCTCCACTGTTGAATCTCTGGGTTGGGACTCCCTGTGAGAGAAAGGCGCATCCATGAACCCTCGGCGTCGTGAATCAAAGCTTCCACTTGACCAATGCATTCTGCTGGCTTCCCCTGATAAGTTCCCCGCAAATGGATTTGTTCACCGATCTTGGCCTTGAAGTTCTCTAAGGAAATCCAGCCGGCAGATAGATCTGCCCCCTTGGGCGCTTTGCTTGGCCGTCGGGGCGTCTGCCGTCTCCCACCGGGGGTAGCTTTACCCTTTGACTTGGGTTTCGGGATTGATCTCCTGGAAGCTGCTGGACGAATTCTGGGTGGCATGGGGTTGTTGGCGGAGCCGTTCACTCTTCACCTCTTCTCCAAGCCTTGTACGCTTCGCCTCGTTCACGATGTTTCCTACCCTTGTTCTTCTTGTGGCACCGACCGACACGATCAGATCCTGAAGGCTCCTGTCCAATGGGCCCCTCCACAGAACCAGACTGATTAGCAAGCGATGGCGAATAAGCCCTAGCACTTCTTGAACGTGCAGGTGGAGGCGGAGGTGGCTGTCGCTTCTCCTCTCGCCTTTCGCTCCGCTTCTCTAGATGACGATCGGAACGTTTGTCCTTTCCAGAATCCCTAGATTTAGGAGATTTCTCTCCCCAATCACAATCTTTCTCCGCCACTCCCGATTCAGGAGGATGGGAAATAGGGTGTTCCACAATCTCTGGGGCCTCTGCTAGTGGGACAGCCAGCCAAGAATTCACTTCCCCCAGCGCGCGTTCCAGAATAGAAGTAGCCAAATCGTAGTTTGTGTTATTGACCCGGGAATCAAGTGGTAGAACCGCAATGGCCCGTGCAATTCTGCAAATACCACAAACTGGTGCCCCTGAAGTACTCCACCAACGATTGCAGGAAGAGCAAACCAAGGGCCCGGCCATTCCCTACGGACCACAGAAAGCAGAGCTACAGAGCCGAAACATTTCGGCACATTCCTAACTCACGAAGCGTGTATCAAGAGAACTGGCCCAAACAGCCGTACCTTCTCAAGTCGGGTCGCACGCGGATTCCTTCAACTTTTCGCCAATTATTCATTCAACCAGTGCCCGCGGATTCTGTCAACCCGAAAAAGCGGATGCATTCCACCCTAAAACCTGCTTCTTTCAACCCCGGCACGCAGATTCACTCAACCATGGCCCCGGGAGTGATTCCTTCAACCCAAACAACTGCTTCGTTCAACCCATACACAAAGAGTCGCTCCAACTACGGACACGCGTGCTACCCCAACCACAAGGACTCACTCAACCACGGACACGCGGATTCTTGTGCCCCGCCCTCGCCCGCTACCCTAACCACCCTCACCGCACTGCGACTAGCACAAGCACCAGTTGACGGAATCAGCACAGTCTGCGTTGATGGGAGCGGGCGATGGGGGTTGACTGAATCCGCACTTTCTGGGTTGAGGGACGCGGCGAACAGGGTAGAAGGAAGCGCAGTTGACAGAATCTTGGTTGTCGGAACCGCGCGAAGTTGAGGAAGAAGGCTTCTACCTCTCAAGTCGACCCCCAATCCTTTTTCGCCGACAGGCCTACAAAGCCCTGCAAAAGCTAACGGGTGGACCATGCTCGAGAGGGTGACGGAACGTAGGAAACTCCGTGACGAGCCCCCGGCGTTTCACCGATGGAGGGTCAGCTTGGTCACCACGACTCGCCGGCTCTGTTCGTGTGGTCGGACTGACAGGTTGGCCAGCGGCAACCTCACTTGCCTCCCGTGTCGATGCGAATGTAGTGGTCGGAAGTGAGGCCGAGAGAAGTCTGCCGTTCTTGTTGAAAGTTGTAGAACCATCTGATTATCAAACTGCGAAAAGAGCCGGCCGAAAAGAGGTGCCGGCAGACGGGACTTGCGCTTGGCCCACGGCGGATCCCGCGCTTTTCCCTAAACTGCCGTTTGTTTCGGCCTCCGGTTTCTCGTCACCGTCACCCCCACTGCTCTCTGCTCTCTGTCTGCCGCCTCCGCCCGGCGCGGCTCACAGTTGTGGGTCATTTCCAGCATGCGGACGCTCTTGTTGCAGCTGATCTTTGTGATGATGATGATGAGCTACACTGTTTTCCTGTGATGTGACCTTTGAAGGCCCTGCTGCTGGTGAGCTGTGCTCTGGATTCGCCCTTTCACCACTGTACCTGCAGCTTCGCAGTTCGGGAGCGATTTCTCAGGAAGGCGCATTTTTCTGGTGTCTTCGGATGTCGTGGTCAGTTGGAGGTCAGGATGCGAGCACTGGAGTCGAAACTCGAGGGCAATAGTACACAGGGCCTCGGCGCGCCTCCTTCTTCACGACATGTTTCACTGTAGTGACATGCCCAAGTTAGAGTATGACGGCGAGGAACAAAATACAGGCAGTGACCGCGGCAGCACAACGGACGAGCAAAGTCCACGACCGCTGAAAAACTTGACTCGTGGGTAATTCTTTGGAACAGAGCCTTGTGCACGATATAGATCGACTGAGGTGTCGGCATCGCGTGATTCAAGAAACGCTGCTAGCTGCAATACGCACGATGTCATGAAGCTTAGATCCCACCACGAGCATCCACGGGACTTGAACGGTCAAACTTGCAAAGCCATTGTGTTTGTGAATTTGCAAGCTTGCAGCAAAGCACAAACCGCAAGCGCGTTTGATGTCCAAGTTATCCGTTACAAGAGGTTGCTGCATGCTGTCACAGCAAAGCGCGGAGTGGCTCCTAAGTTGAGCCGGCTCACGAGCAAGTCGGGATCGGCCACAGGCAGAACCTCAGCCAGCGGGACTTGAGCTTTTTTGCGATCATACGCAAGGTGGTGCCACCAGGACGTGGGGAAAAGTATGGAAAAGTGCTGCATGACATGAGGCCAGCACCAGGGTAGACTTCTCAAGAGCTCGCTTGAGAACCCATTCTGCTTGGTTGAGATTCCCCTCGCCCGAAAGCTTCGACGATTTCCTCAGCCAGGCGCACAACAACCGACAGCGAGTTTGGGAGACGATGAGATGGTGAAGCAGCATGGCTGCTACCGGGAGACTCGTTGGCTTTGATGAGCCTTTGACGTGCAATGCTGTCCGCGGCATCGGGGAAACTCCTTGCGAGCTGCCCAAGCCCAAGCGCAGCAGCCAAGCGCAGCCCAAGCTCTCCCTTGAACGGAAACGTCCGCAAATGTCCGCAGACGAGCTTCGACATGATCTCTTCGATCAGCTGCTCGGGGGATGGAGCGTTCGCACCTCATGTGGCTCCGGAATCCGCGGTTTGCTGCAAGACAGCTACTAAACTTAGTTGCTGAGTGTACACGAACCACCCGAGTGCACATGACAATCCCCTCATTAGTAGTTAGTTGCTCCTAGCTGCTGGCGAGGAGAAGGATCTTGTGCAGCTGCAGCGCCGCAGCCTTCACTTTTGCCTGGCGGCCGCAACGTGAGTCGCATGGCAGCTGTCTGCGAACCTACCTACCAAACACAAGATGAAGTTACGGCCTGACAAACCCTGCCTCCTCGCGCCACCTTCGGCGACCACGGATGACTTGCCGCAGCACGCCTCCGTGCAGACGACATGCATTCTGTGTTGGCCATGCCTTGTGCTGCCTTGCCCCTGCCACCACTAGTCACTAGGCCGAAGCAGGCCTGCAGCTTCCTGGTGAAGACCTTCCTGTCGCAGCAGAGCCACGAGACGCTCTTGCCAGTCAAGCATCACCTCAAACACAATACAACAACGACTTGCTCAGAGGTTGGACTTACTTCTCAATAGGGCACAGAAATAAAAGGGTAAACTTTCCGGTTCCTACCAAACCATAAGAACCCAAAAAGCTTAAAGGTTGGGTATTGGGATCTAACTGCAGGAGCCTTTCCAGGCGAGGTGCGGGGTTGTGAGCTCCGAGAGACTTCAGTCCAGCAGTCACTGCATCTTGCAAAAGCGGTCGAGCTTCAGCTACTCGATCCTGATCTGCCAAGAATTTCCTTTGTTGGGATGCAGAACTCACTTCGTGACAGCTGTCATCTGCTCACGTTTCATGACTAGGCATGTCACGCACTTGCTTCCACGCATCGCCAGTACTACCTTTCCGAAGAGTGTGTCCTAGGCTTCACGGGAACATCCATCAGAAGAAATCGTCTGGCATGCCGAAGCAGTTCGACGGCTGGCGAGTTGCAATCTTGTGCTCACCGAGCTCCGCATGAAGTCCGTCTACTGCCCAGCGCAGAAGGTCTTCCGCCTCTTGTGTGCGTCCTTGCTCTTTAAGTCGCTTGGCCAGAAGAAAAGCATACCTGGTCAGTTTGACACTTGCAAACTTACGGAAAGTTGCTGCAAAATCTCGTGAAACAGAAACTTGCACGGCGAAGAGCCTGGAAGTCCCAGCTTCTCGGAAGTCTTTGCTTGCCGCCAGGAACAAGCTGTTTTCGTAGGCATGCTGCACCAACTCGGCTCAGAAGCGGGCACGATGCGCACTGCACTGCGCGCATGCCGTAAATCCACTCTCAGTCTAGCGTCGCTCGAATTCCAGGCCATGCCTAGCATGGCCTGGTCGCAGCGCGCTCTGAGTGCAGCAGAGAAGGTGTGGTTCTGGATTGAGGCGGGAAGCTCCGCAAGCTGCAGCACCTCGGCTGGTCACCGGAGGTTCCAAGCGCATTCGCGTACCGCAGGGGTGCGCACTCGCTTGCTGACGCCAGGGGAGTCGCGCCAGGACGCAGAAACCCTCAACCTTGAAACACAGCCACCCTCGTGACTCGCATGCGATTCAAGTGTGAGAGCTTCAAACGTACGTGCTTGGATCGCGATTTCATCGCTGCCAGAGCTCCTATCGCGCGCTTCCACATTCGCAACTCAGGCTAAGTCTGACCCCATGCACAGTGCAAGTGCAAGTCAGCCAAGCTACTGGCTGTGGCTCAGCCATTGGTGACAGCAGAGATGCAGGATTCGTTGCCTGTGGCAGCAGCTGGATGAACTGCCGCTTCTCCTGGCGCTTTGCAGTAGATAGCTGAGCCGTTCTGGTTCAAAATGGCTGTGGTGCACGGACATGTCTGCCACCACACCAACACAGTGGGACGAAAAGCATGCTGGCCTCCAAATCGCCGGAGAGAAACACTTCTCTCAGGGCTTCATCATCAGGTATTCCCTGATCCAAGCTCTCGTTCCCCACTCTCTGCATCAAAGATCTCGTCCAGTTACTACCTGAGAGGCAAACTCTCAAGTTGATCTGCATGATCACCACTTCTGATGCCCTGATGACCCCAACGACGACCAAGCGCAGCACATCGCAGAAAGATTATACCAAAGCTGGCTGTGGCTGCAGCACTTGACTGCTGCCTGTCCTCGGCGAACAAGTGTTGCGCTGGTTGGGGCCAGGGCCAGCAGCTCGTGACCGCCCCCGGGGATCTGACGGAAGAGTTCTGGATGCTGGTAAGAATGATCTGGGCATCACTGCCGTTAAACTTCCCTGCGACCTTACACGCTGCAACGCAAACCGCGTGTGCTGCTGCAAAACACCAGCATGTGCTCCGCATGACATAACTCGGGGGTCGGCATCGGCGACAAAATCAAGGCTGGCGTCTTGCCCCACCAAGATGGTGTCACTGTCCTTTGCAGCCACCGTCTTCCCATATCGCATAGAAAAAGCTATACTGTGCCGAGCCACGAGCCACAGCATCCACTTGATGCCTTCCCGCTGGCAGGTCTCCAGCCAGTGAGGGATCACCTGAAAGCCGATGATTCTGATCCCCGTCGTCGGTCGACAGCAGATGGAAAGCATTTAAAGAGTGACAGTCACCCATTTGAGGTGATTCCCTACTGCCCGACTTTCAACCTGCAAAGGACTCAATGCCGGCGGAGTAGGCTCACCGGCCCCTGTGCCACCATGCCACCATCTGAATCTACGTGGCAAGGCTTGGGCAGTCAGCAATAGCTGTTCCAAAAGCGATCTTGGAGTGCAAAGTGAGAAGGCAGTGAGGCAGTGCTGAGCAGTGTAGCAGCGCGGCACGGCGCTTGGGTTATTTCCACCCGGCCCATACAAAAACCCAGTGACACAGCGCGTGAGGTGCGATGCTACCTGGTTACCTGCTGCCAAGACCTGCCAACACAAGTCCGAGCACCCAGGCCTGGGACTTCGTTGACGCTGGCTCCACGTTGCGCTGGTCCAGGACGAACGGGTATCCTGAAGAGGCTGAGGCGACTTGTCAGAACCGTCTCAGCTACCGACACCGTCTGCAGTCCTTGTTCAGCACACCACATCGCATTGATAGCGCCCGTCAAAGCTCCGTTTCGAAGCTTTTTCGGCGCATGGGACACGACCAAGGCCAGCCTTGGATCCCAGACCGGGCAGACGACGAAGGGCACAAAGCCCGCTGTCGAGCACATATCATCTGCTCTGCACATGAGCAACGGCGGATCTCCTGCTTTTACAAGAGGTGACGTCTTGTTGGCACCTCAGGCTGGCTATGGCTGGCTGCACGCTGCGTCTCCGTTCCCAATTACATCTTGGCTGTAAGGGCTTGGCATAGTCTTAATGCTGCGTCGCTTTGAAGACGGCAGCAAGATTCATTGGGACCTGGAGCTACATCTCCATCGACAGCTGCCTGACCAGTTCGGATTGGTGCAGCTTTCTGAATCAACATGTTGATCAACAAGATCACTCGCATCAGAATCTCAAGCATGCAACGACAATCAGCGTGTGCCAATAATCGGCTCCAAGTATGTCGCTGTCGGGATTTTGGGACCCCAAAGCTCCCCATGCGCCCCACGCACAGCCCCCTCTACTTGTACTGTGCCCGTTATGCCCAGACTCATGTTGTCATCGGAGGGCTTCGGCATGCATGTGTCAAAAGCGGGTTTCAAAAGAGGGCGTGATTTGAATGACACGTAGCTGCTGCTCGGAACAGTCAACTTGCACCCTCCACAAACAACGGCGGGAGGCCTCTGAATTCTCAGGCAAATCTTCGTAGGAGCCGACATCCTTGCATTAGGGCCATTAGGGTCAAGGGTGGTCAACCTGCGAGGTCAAGGACGGTCAAGGAAGGCCAGGAAATACTACGTCGCCGTTCAAGCAGCCGGATAGAACGCATCCTCAAAGTCATCTCCTTCTGCTACCGGCTGCGCAAAGCTGGCGCGGGAGAAGTCAAAGTTCTCAACCTGGTCTCGCTTTGCGATTCTTGTTGGAAGAAAGCTTGGGTGGCCAAACTCATTCGAAGCGGCCGCATTCTGCCGTGAAGTGGCCGCATCACAGTCAGAAGGGCCCTCCTGCAGCCAGAAACAGACTGTCTACACCTGGCACTTCTGCTGCATGACTGCATGATATATCATGCTTACGTGCAGAACACGGGAACGCGAAAAAGTTGCGTACATGAAGCTGGCTGAGGTCTGGCTCATGAGGCTGTCAATCTCCTGGGCTTTTGACCGCTGCGCTGCGACCAGAGAAGCTGCAAGCAGCGCAAGCAGCCAGCATCGACTCCACCATGGCCAGAGCCACATGCGAAACGCGACGAAGGCGACTTGGGACTTCGTCGATTCGTGGTGGCTTTCACTTAAGTCCTCTTGCGAATGCCCCTGTAGTTTTTAATGGTGATTGAGCATGGAACGCCTACTAGGCCTCTGCTTGATCTCTAAGCTCGCAGCAAGTCAACGAGCATGGAACGAGAACAAACTGCTCAGGCAAAACAAGTTCTTCTGGCACTCACTTCCCCCCCGGTGAACACGGCCTCTAGCTCAGGTGCTGCAGGGGCTTCACTCGCGTCGATCATGGCGGAGGGCCGATTGCCGGAGGCGACTATCCAGACTATCTAGTGCTGCCGAAACTGCTGCCAGATGCAAAGACCAGTTTTCAGCACGCCTTCCTTGAACGGATGCTGAGTGCGAGCACCAATCTGGTGACGAACTGCATGGCTTGTTCCTGAGACATTTTTGTATGTCGATACAAATGCAGCGGCAGATGGAACCGCTCTTGCCTGGCAGGGCCCAGCAGGCAGTACAACTTTGGCCAGGAATAGCCAAGAAATAACGTTGGATGTCCCGGCATGACAAGTGCTGGGCACACTGCGAGCAGTCTGGAAACGAAGCTTCGATCCGATGGCAGCTGCCTGGCGACACGAAGCAAAGCTACAAAGAACACTTCGGACTTGCAGAAGTTTATGGATTTTATGGAATGCAACAAGGCAGATAGGCGGAACATCAGCCTTGCAAGGCCGCAAGGCGGTGACTCGATGGCCGTCTTGGAATTTCTGAACTCTTGGACTCTGGGACTCTGGGGCTGTGGCGACTGCCGGAGGCTCCGTCAGCGTTGGAATTGCTAGCGACGCTCTTTCCCGTTGAGGCGGCGAGAAAGAGGGCACCTTGTCGGAAGTGCTGTGTGCTCTACTGGCATTGACACAACACCTTTCGTCCCAAAGGTCACAACCCCTACGACCACCAGCACGAGTAGCACCCTGGATTTTCCAACTGTAACTGCGAAGATGCTGGGAAACAAACCATCGTCGCGCACGAATACCCAGAATGGATAAAGTCCATGACCTCGGCGGCTGCTGCTCTCCCCGACTACTGAGTCATGAAACTTGTCTGTCTGACTGTGAACACTGTTCATGCTCGTCCCAAGGATCGTGCCATCTGACAGCCCTGCATCTCCTTGACCGAAGCATTCAACAACAACACAGACAATCAACTTTGCCAAGGCAGACACTGGAGCTCAACTTGTGAAGCCTTGCGTCTTATTCATTCTGGCGAAACTTCATTGAATTTCCTCATGCTGACCGGTTTCTTCAAGCATTCGAAACACCTCCGCAGAGTTCGTAGAGCTTGCGAAGAAAATGCTTGCATCGCCAGCAAGGCATGCCACCAAAACCGCATCGAATTCACGCACCGACGACGCGGATTCGCACACTGGATGGTGGATTCAATGACGCGTCGTGAGATTCAAAGACATGCATGTTCGCTGACGGAGCCCGTATTGTTCAAACACCCGCCCAGTCGCACGGGATTGCATACGGGAACTAGAAAATCCCTCAACCCTAACCCCTAAATGCCCTGAACCTTGGAGACGAACACCGTTAGGCGTTTAAAAAAAAGAACAAAACGGATCCTAGAACCAAACACTAGCAGTGTGTATATGCCCACCCAAAACATACCCAAATGTGTTCCTACTGCCCAGCACACGGAGCACAACCACACAAAACGCCTCTTGCGAACAGACGCGCAGGCCTTCAGGTTTCATTGCTTTCTGCATTGCATAGCTCCCGGTGCAAACCACACGATGAAAACCTTGAACCCTCAACACCGACAAGCCGCAAAACCTAAGCCCTACAAAAGCAAACAACCGTCTGGAACTACACGTGCCTGAATTCTGCCAATTTCAGCTTTACCGGCAGGCTGTCGCGCTGAGCGTTAACTATGAGAGACCGAGAATTAAGCCGCAAAAGAGGCTGTCCGTCCCTCGACACGAATCGGTATCTGCGAGATTCCGCGAGAGCGAAGGGAAGCTCTGTCCTGGTCGGGCCGCAGCAAGCCCAGGCTTTGACGGATCCTCAAAAACTCAAGCAAGGTTATCACGGCGTGGCCGTTGAGATGTCATCGCATGATATGTCAGGGCATGTCATGATCTGTCACAAGTGTTTCTTGGCTCCAGGGCTCATCCAGCTCTCTGAAGCGTAAGCCGAGAAACAGAGTGAGCCTCAGGCTCTTTGGCAGGTAAACAATCACGAAGCCCACACGCCGTGCTAAGTCCAGAGCAATGGCAACTGCCTGAGCTTGGAAAAAAAGCACATAGGTCTCTGTTCAATTCTCTGCAAACGGCAAGTTTCAACAACCAACTACGGCTCGCGGCTTCGCATCCCAGCCATTCAGTGCACAGAGCGCCGCAGCCTGTGCAAGCCCAGCTAAGCAGAGTTACAAGTACTTCGATTGATCTGACACGGGCTTCGGTACAGCCCATTCTATGCAATGCAGGACATGTGCAGTCCTTTGTTCGGTTCTCGAAAATGAGCAAGTTGGTGACAACACGGACAGGCGACTGGCTAAGCAGCAGCACCTCGACACGGCGCATGGTGTTTTCACAGCTCAGGGGCTCAAGCATCTGCAATGCCGACTCAGTCTACGGCATGCAACGAGCGACCTTGCGACAATAAATACCAAATGTGGTTCCTCAGCGGCAGGGCGGCCACAGATGACGTCCAGAAACAAGAACTTCACTGCTCAGTTCCGAACTGTGTCAGAAGTGATCTCCACGCGTCTCGACTGCTGAATGCCACCACCTGCCAGCCGGAAAGATAGGAATACTGGCAGGCCAGCGTTCTGCCTCAAGCGTAGTTCGGAGAAGGCAACATCTGCCGAGTCGACAGTCAAAACGCCGTCACGACCACCGAGAGAAATGTCTCACATCTCCAGTGCACTACACTTGCACATTGACTGCACACGACAATATGAACCGTACCATGGCTGAGCCTCATATTTGTTGACAGAAGTGTCGCAATGGAAAATGCGTTTGAGATCTTCTGATCATGCGACGTGGCCATGCACGGGCTCATGTCTTCTCTTCGCCAGTAGCCGAATTTGGGTCGCACACGTGGATAGCTCTCGAGACGAAGGATGTCCTGAATACCCGCTGATTTCGGTGCAACGCTCTCCGGCCAACCTTCCCCCTTTGACTGGAGCAAGATGTGCCCCAACCAGCTGTCTAGACTCTCGGACTCTAGGGATCGACAACGGCAACTCGGCATGGAGCAGCTATGTTTTCACAAGCTCTGTTCCACAAAGCTTCAAGTGGTTGGCAACTTGTCAGACGCCTGTTCTAACACCCCAGCGGCCCTAGCACAGACCTGTGGAAACGGAAGGCCAGAAGTACTGTGCCAATCTCCCAATCCCATACAAGCAAGCTCTTCTCGAGTCTGGCCAAGGCCTCATCCATTACAGATGGTGAACTGCCGTCCTGGCTCTGCATCGCCGGCGTCGCGCGCTCATACTCCCATATTTTCGAAGGCTGCCGCCTCTTCCGCAGCAGCTGCTGCTGCGACAGAATCGGACCTTATCGAGTCGTCGCAACGGATGTCGTGACAGCAGGTGTTCGAGGCGAGCACAATGCACCGGACAGGTCGTCCTCGGAGCCTCCTCCGATCCAGCTCCGGCCTCTCAAAGAAGCGAGTCGAGCGGTCGAGCGGGCCAGCTGGCGCAGTTGGCTCAAGCTCAAGCCTTCACAGCCTGAACGAGGAATGACCTGACCGCGGCGCGACTGTCGGAGAGAACGTGCGCTGAAGGCTAAAACACTGAGCTCTTGGCGACCAGTCGCCAGGGACCTCTGTCCGGCGGCCTCTATAGGCACACCCCGTGCCCGGTTCAGCTAAGCCCGCTGGAGAATAGTCGGCTGCACCGGAGTAGCAGAAAGAGAGGAAGTAGCAAACTGCATAAATGGCATGAAGTATTGCACTAAAGCGCTCGGTACACTCAAGGAATGGAACCAGACTTGTCACGAAAACCATAGAAAGCACTTAAAAGCCGAACTCGCGAAACACCAACCAGCACAGCAGGGAAAGGGAAGCTGCAAGTACGACAACGACGATGGGATTCAAGAGGATTCGGGAGCGCGACCGAGATGCCTTTCCCTGAGTGGTGGCAGATCCACAGCCACGGCCAAAAGATGCCAAAAGCTTGCACCCAAGTACGGGCGGGATTCGCCAACTGTCGAAATTCAGGAGGAAGCCCCAGGACTGCTGCTTTTTCGGCCAAAACCTGGTCCATGTAATTTACAATGAATCCGGCCTTTCCGTGACCAGTGTCCACCAGGATCGCCTGTAAATCATAGGACGCCGCGAGCGCAAAACTTGCAGCGTGCCACAGTGGGAGCCGCCCGTCGGAGAAAAACTTTCCCGCGCACATTCTCTTTCCTCCGGACACTGTACCGCACTGCTGGGGGAACTAAACTCCCTTCTCGACACATCCGTTTCTCCAAGCCGCCTCCTGACACCTCGAAGAGCTACTGAGAAATGCTCCAGCCGCGTCGTCAGCATGATTCCAGCCACAATTACCGCCATGAAAGAGCCCAGAGCACAAGCTGTGCAACGAGGTGTGATTCGAAGCTTAGGACGTAAAGGTTGCATATGCACCCGAAAACACCTGAAAAGCAGCAGCACCAGACGTCCAGCTTGGAAAGTATGAATATCGACACAATTTGGTATTCTTGGCCAGCGGCTTGGTCTCCATGCCGACCTTTGAACCTTTACATGCTCCTAAAAACTTGATTGCGATAACAACAATCCGCCGTGCCTGCAGACTCCCAGATCTCGCAGAACACATGCGACCTAAGTCACACTGGAAGGGTCTGATGATACTTGTTTCTGCAGCCGCTGACACACCAATACACAGATACACACGGTTAAATTTCAGCTGCCACTCAACACTTCCGCACACACACACACACACACAGACACCGGCAAGGACTTCCGGAAGCGCTGAAGAGGTCATGAGAATATAAGACCGATTTACGCTCTGGCATCGCGTTCTCAGCAGCGATTCGTGCAACGTGCCGAACTCTGGACAGCAGATTCGGGCATGCGCATCGGCTGATTCACGTACAGCCTGATTCTTGCACCGGAAACTTCGCCCACGGACGACCCGGAGCCCTGCAACCAACAGACACAAACCCTAAACGCGCGAGACCAAGCCGCTAGCGCAGGGGTGGGGGGGGTTTATTCTTCCGGAGTATGGACACACCCACCCCCGAGGCGGGAGGGGGGGGAAGAGTGGGAGGGGGGCTTCATCGTAGTCTGCGGGGCTCGGGGTTGGTAATGTCATCGACATTTCATTGGAGCGGGGTTGCACTTGTGTCTTGGAAAGGACGTTTTTATTCAGTTCTCCGGGGCTTAAGAGAGCACAGGAGTTTGCAGTTTAAGAAATGCAGGAGGTTGCAAAGCATTCAAATCATACATGGAAAATCTCATTTTCTTCGTTGTTTTAAACCACCTGAAGTGTTTTCCTGCCGTTTGCTTTGTGTGTGTTGGAGAAAACGTTTCCCGGCGATTAGGTGGTACGGCTCACGAGAGCGGGTAGTTTGCATTCAAAAAGCGAAGGGGTTGGGGGGGGGGGGGGGCAGCCCCCCCATTTGCAAAGCTTTCCAAGCACTCATGAATTGATTGCATTTTCTTCGCTTTAACCCCTGAAACGTCTTCGTGTGGCTTTCTCCTTTGGGGGCGGGGAGTTTGCAGTCAAAGAAAGCGGGTCGTATGAACCCCCCGGCTTTCCTCCTTTGTGTGTGTCGGAAAAGACGTTACCCGGCGATCAGCACTCATGATGAATTTTATCTTCTTCGCTTTTGACCCCCCTGAAGCGTTTTCGTGTGGCTTCCTCTTTATTAGTGTGTTGGCGAACACGTTTCTAGTCATTGCTTCGCGGCTTAAGAGAGCGGAGAGTTTGGTCTAAAAGAGCGGGGCGGTTGGGGGGGTGCAGTCCCCCCCCCATTTGCAAAGCTGTCCAAGCACTCATGATTGATTGTATTTTCTTCGCTTTTAACCCCCTGCAACATCTTTGTGTGGCTTTCTCCTTTGGGAGAGGGAAGTTTGCAGTCACAAAAAGCGGGTCGGAAGGCGGCTTAAGAGAGCACAGGAGTTTGCAGTCCAAAAATGCGGTAGGTTGCAAAGCCTTCAAATCATTCATGGTTTATGTCATACTTAGTGGTAGCTCTCTTTAGGCACTAGTACCACGAAGCGCATGCACCATCTGACAGGTTGGCGAATGGGGGGACTGCACCCCCCCAACCGCCCCGCTCTTTTAGACCAAACTCTCCGCTCTCTTAAGCCGCGAAGCAATGAATAGAAACGTGTTCGCCAACACACTAACAAAGAGGAAGCCACGCGAAAACGCTTCAGGTGGGTCAAAAGCGAAGAAGATAAAATTCATCATGAGTGCTGATCGCCGGGTAACGTCTTTTACGACACACACAAAAGGGAAAGCCGGGGGGTTGATAGCGCAGAAAATAACATTGCAAATGGGCGGTGGCGGGAGCTGCGCCTTTCGACCCGCTTTCTTTGACTGCAAACTCCCCGTTCCCAGAGGAGAAAGCGATACGAAGACGTTTCAGGGGTTTAAAGCGAAGAAAATGCAATCAGTTCATGAGTGCTTGGAAAGCTTTGCAAATGGGGGAGCTGCGCCCCCCCCAACCCCTTCGCTTTTTAAATGCAAACTCCCCGCTCTCGGAAGCCACTTGTACCACTAAGTATGAGATTAACCATGATTGATTTGAAGGCTTTGCAACCTCCCGCATTGTTGAAACTGCAAACTCCTGTGCTCTTTTCAGCCGTGGAGAACTGAATAAAAAAGTCCTTTCCAAAACACAAGTTCAACCCCCGCTCCAATCAAATGTCGATGCCATTACCCCCCCCTCCCCTCCCCCCCCTTACTCAGGTAGGAACCCCCTCCATACTCAAGGAGTATGAACCCCCCCCCTCCATACTCAGGGAGTAGGAATTATAAACCCCCCCTCCCCCCCTCAATACTCCCGGAGGACGAACCCCCCCCCACCCCGCTAACGGCGCTATCTGAAACGCGCTAAACCCAAAGAATATTTTCGCCCGCAGCCCTAAGGCCTCAAACCCTAAACAACCCAACAACCGAAAGCCCTTTAACGCCTCTATGAAACAGATCTGAACCCTACAAGCTCCAACGTACCGAACGAAGCTTCATCTGATGAGTCTGACGTTTACATTCGAGCCCGTGGCCGAGAAGCAAACATTGCGATTCGAGCTCCCGACTCACTGGGTCGATCAAAGCACTCGTGATTCAAGTGTTTGGATTTTCGGCAGGTTTCAGTGTGTTTAAACTGTGTTTTGGGTTCCAAGGTTGCAGGGCTGTGAGGGCTTACAGATTTTATAAACCCGCAGACGGATGGCCTAAAAACAAGCAAAGATATTCAGAAGCAGGCGAAGCGACTGCTAATTCGATGTGACCCGGGCCTCAGCGTCAGACTGTTCCGCAGGGAACATGTATACATCGGCTAAAAACTCAGCTCAGGACGCACTCTGCGGCGTGGTCGTCTCCTCTGTGTGCCTGTCCGCAATCGTGCATCGAGTGCATCACAGACAGTGCAACGGCGTCCAAGGACTGTTCGTACTTCTGCTGGTGCCCAGACCCGCCTTTGATGCCACCTCGCCTCGGGCAGAGTACTTTGGTGAACGCTCATCAAACTGTTGAAACCGAGGGTCTGCCCTAGTAACTCTGTGACGCGCTTTTCACAGATCTGACGAGCAGAACTGCATTCTGAAGGACATCAGTGCTATGGCACTGAAATGTGATGTCGTATACGAGTTTCACCTGCCATGGCTCGCTATGCGAACATCAGAGCTCTGGAGAAGTGGACAAGCAGCCAATATAATGTCGAGCCTGCGGGCCTTTGACACTTCGGTGATAATGAGACTGCGCGTGACTCCCAGACTTTCAGACTGCTCCAGCCTTTTACCGGTTGCAAGAGCAATGTCATGGCACGGCATGCGGGAGCAGCAGCACCAGCACTATATGTTAGAAGAGTTATATGTAAATATCGAAAGGCTGACCATGCTCAGATGTGCGCTTTCAGCAGGAGACCGTGGATGCTTGCAAATGTCACCGCAGATCAACTCAGGAGGCTCGGTCCACACGTCAGCCTGTAAATTTCGAAGTGGCGCCCAAGTCTGTGTAGGGCTGTCTCGCTGCTAACATCAGCATCAAATTTTCATGAAGGCGAGACAGCGAAGTTAGTTAGACGCATAGCAATCTGACTGGGGTCATGGCTGAAGTTCCTGTCGCAGAGCCTCCAAGGAAGCTTGTTGATCAAGCTCCTTCATGGCGCTGCACAGAAGTCAAAGCCCTGAAGAGACAGCAGGGAAGCCTCGACGGAGCTGCCCGCGGATTTGGCATCACCGTGCTCGGTCTCCTGACGAATGCAGACTGAGCATTGACTGGAGCACCGCCTCTGCCGCAAGGCCTCTGTGACCAGCTCGGAGCCGGAACTATCTGAGGTACAGGCACACAGAGCTCTCAGCTCCGCTCGCAGCCTTCCGACTCTCACTTTGGCACAGACTGGCCTTCTTTGTCCACGCCGACGGAACCGAGCCTTCGACATGAAAAGGCAAGGATGCTGCAAATGGACGCAAAAGCATCAGCAAAGAGAGCTGCTTAAAGAACGCAGTGTTGAATGCAAAGTGCGATACTATGGTTGATAGTGCGGATCTGACACAGATGGGAAAAACTTCAACCGAGACACTGCGGCGGGTTGAATCGCTTCGCTCTGCGAGGCAAGGAAATGCTGACCAGCCAGGGCGGGAGGCCTGGCGGCACCGTGCTGCTGCTCCCAAGCGGTCGAAAACTGAAAAACTCAACAAATCGCCTGACACCCTCGCTTGAATCAAACACGTCCTGCGTGTACCCCGTTAAGGAGTGACCCACAGTCCCAAACGACGCCAGCATCGCGATTCTGATATTCGCGCTGGGCATGACGATGTACTGCAGCACCTGATAGGTAGAGAGAGGTCAGTCCGACAGAATCCGAATGCTTTCTCGAGACTGGCCCTTGTGCAAAGCCAGCTTCTGAGGACAGGACACAGATTGTAGTTCAGGTCATCGTCACCCAGTCCTGAAACAGCAGTCGAGAACAGCTTTTAAACCAACATACGAAGGACTCTGATCTGAGGAGTCAGCGATGCTGTGCTGGCACGCTGAATCCAGTCAGGACATGCTTTGGCATTACAGGCCTCACCACTCGAACAGGCCAGCAAAGTCTTGGACGCAGCTGGTCGCCGGGCACTAGACCCCCCCGCAGCCTTCGCCTCAAAATCACCGCAAACTGCACCCCTAGACTTGGATCTGCAAACCGCTCGAGTGCCAATCTGTCGTCGAACCACGGCCGATTGGAAGGAAGGCCCTGAATGAGAAAATGGCTTGAACATCTTCGGAGACTGCTCTTTGCCTGAAAGGCTCTGAGTGGCGGGCCGTGGCCTGTCGACCTCCAGCCACTCATCACGAGTCTGCAGGATTCGCTCATGCCACGCAAATGGCCTGCAGAGGAAAATGAGCTTGTCAGGAGGCAAGTCTTGTGAATACCATGGCATGCTGAGCTGAAGACATGCAGCGCGTCACTCCACCGTCTTGAGACAGACCTGTTCCAGCTCTGGCACATGCTCGCATGATTCGGCTACAGTGCATTCTGCTGCCTCCTGGATCGCGGCTGAAGCTGCTGCCGCCAGCAGCCTGAACATGTGCACACACTTCATCAAAGCCGGCAGCCCGGGGAACCAAGCATCCAGCCACGCCCACCATGCGATCACTGTCCTCCGCTCCTGCCGAGTTGCTCTGTGCGAACAAGAGCACATGCCCATGATTCTGTCCTCGAGGATCCAGGTTGTCGAGAAAATGATCACCTGCTTTCTGCCAGCTCCGACTGGAACGCAGATGCCCCCCAGAGTAAGGCAAGAGCCGATGCCATATGCTCCTCCAGGTAAAGAGATGCCTGCATGGCAGGAAAGATGAAAGACATTGAAAGATCCCTCTGAAACCGGAAGTCCGACCGTATGTTGGGACACCCTCGACCAGGCAGTCCAGGACTGAAGCCGTCACAGCCTGTCGCCTGGTGTGGCCACCGGATGCCAGCGGCCAGCTTCGAGGATTCGGGAAGCGAGGCCCCGCGAGGCCCCGGCCCGCCGGGCAGCGACTCCGCCAGCCGCTCCTGGCACGGAAACAAAACAGCGTCGCCTGCTACAGATGCAAACATCCCCCCCAACGGGTCGCCTCTGCACGCAAGCCAAAGGCCTCTGGAAACACGGTCAGCTCCTTCCAAGTGGCACAAGATGGCACAAGGAAGCCAGGGCCATTTTCACCTTCAGCTGCCTGGTAGAGTTTGCTTGTCTGCCCCATCACTCCGACACCTTCGGTGCAGCGATGTCGCTCCTTCCACTTTGGATAATGTTGCAAGTGGAAGAAGAAAAAGCAAGCCGCTACTTCCCCCCTCCAGACTCCATGCCTTCAACAGGTCCCAGTCCAAACCTCTGGGACAGGCTTCCTGAGCCGGCTACGGACCACAAGACTCAACTGCCAGCTCCAGTGATTAAGAGGCTCGTGAATCGCAGCACCGAGACAGCTGATGCTGCGCTGATCTACTGTCATGCAATATGCTGTGAACTGGTGATGGGCAGGTTATCGTGATGAAAATTGACGCTCGGGTTGAGAACACGATAGCACGTTTTCTGGTCATGATGACATGACTTTGCAACGGCTTGCCGTAGTATTTCGGGGGAAGAATGAATCTGTGCCGTCCTGGTGCCCCGTCAACTATGCATGAGATTCTTACACGGGCCACGAAAGGCACCGGCCTAGGCTTTCCTACATCCGACTGCTGGTGCTTGCGAGCTTCCGATTGCCTGTTTGCTTGGTGTCAACGTCTCGGCCGCCGCTCCCGGACTTGCAAGATTCCATGCATTCATGACGACTAAATGTCTTTGCACCTGCAAGCTTTGCAAGCCCAGCTCCCGCTGTCACAAGCGGACTCTTCAACGGAGCTGTCTAATCTCAGCGTCCGACAAAGTAGCGATCCAAGGAAATCACCCAGATTCTGTGGCCTGACAGTTCCGAAAGCGTGGCGACCGCGGAAGGCAAACCCAGGTCAGCTGTGAGCTGCTGGCGGTCATCACAGAGGGCAACTGCAAGCCTGCATGGAGATGCCACCGGGACAGCAGTAAAGAGTCTGCGCAGCACGGTAGGGAGGTGACAGGTCTCGGGCAACCGCAAGCGTGACGAAGTTAATTTCCTGCAGCAGTTGCCAGCGCATGGCAATAGTACTGAAGTTGAAACTGGAGTCCAGAGCCTTCATCTTCTCGGACAAGCCCCACCGTGATGGACGATTTCAGACTTCAGACACTTGGTTGTGGGGGGGGTCCTCCGGAAGATATTCCCCCAGAAGTATCGCATGGAAAGCCACACCAGACGTGTGCCACATCCTGAGTTCCATGCAAGCACAGGCCCATTGCAGTAAATCTGGATCTCTTGCGAACAATTGCCACAGCATTGCAGCATGTCGTGAGCTCGTGTCTTTTCTCGCAGGCTGGCACGTGGCACCTTTGCGTCAATTCTTGCGCCTCCGCTTGGGACCTTCACTCTCCGCGGGATCAGACGGTCTCTTCGGAGCCCTTAGCATAGAGTTGACCTCACTGCAACGCGAAGCTACGAACGGAGGTTCTTTGTCAGGCCTGCGTCGAGCGCATCGGCCCAGTGTCCAGTGCCATCCACGTGATCAGGCATCGTACGAGAATCAGGTGCCATTCGACTTGGTTGCAACATGTCAGGAGTTGCCGGCTGCTCTCGAAACGAGCCTCTTACATCGGATACAGACATCTCTGCAAGATACAGCGGCAGATGTGAGAAGTCTCACACGTCGACGGCAAAGTCTTTCCAAACCCGCGCTAGTAGCCCGCAAGGCTTGATCCCACAACCCCCTCCCTCCCCAAAGGATCAGGGCCAGCAGGGCCTGCGGAGCGCCGCAACGGCCCGAGAGCGCTTGCGACCGCTCGCGCTCTGGCCATTTCTGCCCTTCCCACCTTGTCAAGGCTGTGCTTCAGGACCAGCTCATGCACCGTTGCCAGGTCATCCACATCCTCAAGAACGCGGCCCCAGATTTCTCTGCCTTCGGCCTGTAAACCCTCCCTCACCCGAGTCCTGAAAGCCTTCCGGCAAAAGTTTGCTGGCCATCCGGGAACCCGAATGCCAAGTTGTGATGCCGCGCCTGCTGGCCTAACATCTGACAACATGGCAGGCACCGTCAGAGCAGTCTGCAACCCGCAGAACAATTGAACAAGCTTTGAAGCAGTCGGGGATCACCGAATAAAATCGGAACAGAACTGCCAAGAACCGGGAAACTCGAAGTCAGCGGAATTATGGGTTGTAGCTTCAAGACGACATGTGTTCGTCGGCACATCTGGCCTCTGTGTTCCACGGCTGTGAACCCGTTGACAACTGCAGCACCGTCGGGTGGAGCTTCAGACGAGTCCTGCCACTTCATAAGAAGCTCGCACTCCGTACAACAAGACAAGGGTTCACACTTGCCAGCACGAGTGCATGATGGTCGCATCGCGAAAAAAGGGCACAAAAAAGGTTGCAGCCAAGATATGCCATCTGACACGTTTCGACAGATTGAAATTACTGTAGCAATTCGGTACACTCCAAGCGAAACTTCGTCCCTGCCCTCGCAGAGCTGCTGATCAGATGGAAGCGGGACAGGGTTGAGCTTGGTGGAAATCGCAGACATGGAGCTTTTCCTGCTGCTGTGAGGTTGAACGACCTGGATTCCTTACCCAGGCGGTGCTCCTGTTACGGGAAAGCTTCTCGACCGTGATGTCCGTGTAGCCGAGTACTTGAAGCTTGGCCTTCAGCACGCCAAGATGCTCGTGAATCACACAACTTCGAGAAAGTCGAAAGCATTAATGAGACCGCACCTTCGTAAAGTGAATGGGCTGCCAACTGTCCTGACACATGCATCTGCGCGGAACAGGAACAAATTCTGCAAGCATATCTTTTCCTCAAGCGACTCTGCGGGGTGACGACCAGCGGCAGGCTCCAAGGTGGTATTGCAAGAGAACCCCCGACCTGGATGCCCCACTCGTAAACGAGGCCTTGCACCTCTCCACTCACCACCTTCAGGGGGCAGCGACATACAGCATCGCTCTCAAAGACATGAGGGGCACGGAGAAGCACTGGTTTCGCGAAGCTTGGCAATACAAGTTTGAATTAGAAAGCACCTGATAATCAGAATCGCAAGCTTGATTGGCTCATTTTGATCAGTCCCCACATGAACCGCTGTCCGTACTACTAACAATCCTAAAACACCATTGAGGATCCCCATGAAGACATAATGTTATATCTGCATTGAGACCCAATTGTCTAAAAATGCTCCATTATCCGATCGACGCAGGCTCACATGCCAAGTTCAAGCAGCCGCCAGGGAGCAGGACTGAAAGACAGAAGCAGATTGTCAGGGAGGAAGACACCGGCTGCAGGAATCCGGTAGAAAAACTCTGCCCCGGGACTATGCCAGACTTGTCGCGCCTGCACAGTCATCTCAGAGTCAAATGCCTGCCCAGGAAGAGTGGAAGTCCCAACAGCTCTTAGCCTCTCTGTGCTTCACACTGCTACCCGGCTTCAATGTTCCTGGACCAGCTTTTCAGCAAAAAGAAGGCGGCATGCCACTTTGTACAATCTGCTGCCGCAGTGCCTGGACTTCGCGTGAATTCTTCGCTATACAAATGACGTACCGAAACGACAACCCCGAGCGCTCCTTAGCAGCCGGGGCAGGCCAAAACAAAACTTGCTCATGCAGCCATGATCATTGCGATCACTCGAAGTCCTCGTCTAGCATGACAGCCCGACGAACCATGAGCCGCCCGATACGAGATATCCAAAGTTCTTTCTCCTCTCTTTTCGGAGCAATCAGTAAGAAGGATCTCTCCGCCGACTGAACACAGAAGGAGTTCTCTTTGCCAATCTGGTCATCAGCTGATCGAACCGTGAAGCATTCTGATAAGCGAATATATTCGGTCGGACTTCTGTACTCACCCTTTGTCTTGAAACTGCAAAGGTACTGTGGCGTCAGAACGAACCACCTCTGGCGCCATTCCTTCAAGTGCTTCGACTGTTTCACCAGGAAGCCTTCCATGATAATGTCATCCGCGTGGATCAGGATATGTGCTGCCATTTTGGGGTCCTTCTATGACCTTCAGACTTGAACTTCACTCCGAGGTCTTGAAAAGCTGCAGGACACAAGTCATCTGCCATAAGTGACAAAGGTAGAGAATCGCTTTTACCCTCATCTCCATTGCGGCCACCACCGTCCACACACGCTGCCGCGACCGTTACCCATGCCCCCGCCGCCACCACCACCACCACCACCACAACCTCCATCAGGAATATCATCGACAGCAACACCAACATCAACACCAGCATCGCATCGCCTCCATCATCTCCATACTGCCACCACCACCATCATAGCAATCATCGCCATCACCACCTTCTTCACTGTCATCGTCGACATCATCCCCGCGTCATCACCATCATCATGAACTGCAACCATGAACTTTGCCAGAACCCTTGCCCCTCTGATCTACAAAACCAAACTTGCACTAGGAAATGCGTCTCGACAATAAAGAGCATAGCAGCCCGCCATTGCCTCTGTCGACCCTGAGCACTGCGTGGACGCTTTCCTGAGCTAGCATCTACTCGGACGTTGCGCCGACCCTGCAACGGGCGGAGGTAGAGGCTCTAAGGCTCTAGGAGATTCCGAGCCAAGGCTCCTCAGGAATTTGGAATCTATCTGACAAGAGCTCCCTGGGGACCCCAGGGAGAAGCTCTCTGCTTGAAGCTTTTGCGAGGCCATGGCTGCAGGGTTTAGGGCAGTGCCGTGCCTTCGGCTTTCGCTTAGTGCTTCGCGCTTGCAAGTTGTGGTACAAGGCTGATGATGCAGCAGAGGGCAGGCGCCGGCGATGATCAAACTTGAGCAGAAAACATTTACATTGTGGAGATGACGTTGTTAGCTGCATGATGCAGCAGAGGTCGAAGCAGTCAGGTTACATGCAATTTTACTAGTCGGGAGATATCAAGCTCCCGGCAACAAGCGTACTGATGGCTGAGGCGTCACTGCGAAAATCCAGTCGCGACCTGCGTCAACTTTGAATGCCTCGACTCTCCCGCGATTTCGTCTGCGTGTCACTGAGACAGCCACACGTGCGAACATCGGAGAATCGAGTCAATGCCCGCCTGAGATTGACAAGCAGAAGGAAAGCCGTAGCGCCAAATTCACTGCCATCCAGCCTCTGATCTGTATGTGGTGATGGACCTGCCAGCATCTACATACGAATATCACACAACGAAGGTCTACCCAAAGCAGCAACATTCAGGTCGAAACATAGGCGCTGCATGTAGAAACAGTGGGTTGCAAACACACCTGAAAGCGGTGGCAGAAAACGAGATTTACTACGGCCGCTCAGACCATATGTCAGCGAGAGTCAATCCGGCCTTTCCATCTGAAGCTCAGCACCTCATAGCACGATGGCTTGGAAAACAGGAGAAACTCCGACGATCTTGCGCATAACGTTTCCACAAGCATCCCACAGTGGCAACAGCGTCATCGAGGATCAAAACAAGCGTTTGTGCCGTTGCGACACTGATTCGGACCTTGCAATTAACATTCGTGTCGGCTCCCACAATAAGGTGAGGGGTGTGATGTGTTTACAGAAGCTTGGGGAAGCACATGCAGACTCTTGCATGTCTTTATAGCTGACTCCTCACCTTCGTACCTCAAAGTGTGCGAAAACACAAATTTCAATCTGGACTCTCACGGTCTCAGGCGAAGGCCATTCAGCCGCAGTGTCCAGTCCCTTAGCACCTTCGCTTTGCAGAGTCCTGCAATGCCCAAGTTGCCTCCCACCGAGCCTGTGTCAGGCGCATCTGCCTCCTGATCCCGGGCCATTAATGAAACATTACCGCCCTGGCTTATTCGTGGAAATCTTCTCGAAAACTAAGCACATGCGAGTGTGGTACAGATGCGAGAATGTGGCACTTGCTTGCAGGCAATCCGCAGCCTCAGCCGCCAGGGCCGCTGCAGCTGCCGCGAGGTGCTCACGGCATGCCGGAAGCAACCGCAGAAGCAGAAACTCAGGACACGAAATGAGTCACACAACAACAGAGGCATAACATGCATAAGACAATATACCAAAGATCTCCAGTCCAGGGATTCGACCAAGGGTACGGAGTGTTTCCAGACCGTATTCGAGCTGCTCCTCTCTCCGAAAACCTCCTGCTCAAGATGCTTAGCCGCGTCTGGTTGCGGAAAGCCAGCACAAGGCATTTTGCAGGTCCTCTTCCGACCATCTTGGCAGATGCACACGAATGGCATGAAACTCTTTTTGCTGAGTTCGTGCAAGACCGAGGATCGGCTTCAGCAGGGGCATGCCACGTTCCAGCTCTTCGGGATCGTGCTCCAGCTGCATGGATTTATGCAGGGTGTCGAAGAGCCACATCGCAAGCTGACGTGTGCCACGACCCCACCTCCACCGTTGATGTGTTGACCTCCGCATCCGCGGTCTCGATGCCCACAAAGCGGCAACAAGTCAACCTGAGGTCAGTTCTTGACTCTGCCAGGATGTTGCATGTTAGCTTTGCCATGTCTGCCAGGCCACGCCGCATTGTCCCGGTGCAAAGCCACCAAGCATGCCACGCCTTGACACTCTGGTAAACAATGTCCGATTCCGTTTGAGCTTGACGGGACTTGAAGAAATGCAGGGTTGTTGCAATGTCAGCAAGGAAGCTCTGCGGTCCAGGCCCGGATACTCTGACAACGCGTTCTTGGACAAGTCTACCTTGCAAAGGTTCCACATACGACCGGCTGCAATCATGCAGAAGAAGACCAAGAACTACATATTGAAGCCCGGTATCTGCCCGTCAAACATCTTATGTCAAACCTGAAACTAGTCGACCAAGCACTGAGGAAGCAAATCCCTCTGGCAGAAATCAAGTAGCAGCGACACTGTGCGATAGCGCAGTTGACACTCAAACAGTAAGGCATACATCTGGCCTGTGTCTCTGCCGGTATGTGTTGCCAAACGCATGTGGAGACCTTTTGCTCAACTTCGCTCAAGCTCATGAATGCAAACTGATCGCAAATCACACAGGTTTTGCGACTGCGCCTCCTCAGCCACTGGTTTGGACAGACTGAACTCTGGCCGTGTGTTGTCGCAGGAGTAGCAGATGCACCTGATGCTGTCATCGAGCAAGCGAGCGAGAAAAGAAGTGACTTCCGTTCGCGGCCTGCCATCTCCATCGACACGTGAAAGCAAGCAGCGGTCATGGGAGAGAGCAAGCTCCTTTGCTATGAAATGCAGGTATTATGCAAGCGGTACAGCAATGCTCTGAGCCCACCACCCCACCCTCGGGGATGACTTCTTGCTCCAACCGTCGCACACACACCAATGTGAAGTTTGTCCTGGCAGATAAACATGTGGAATTTATGTGGCGACCAGCACAGATGTGCAGCATGTGCAATTCAAGATGGCTTGACTGGGGTGCCGGATGCGAAGGGACCGACATGTCCAGCCCATGACATGCGATGACACAACATCTTGCAACGAGCTAGATTCCTGTAGTGGATTTTCCTGGTAGGAGGCGCAGCCAACAAAACTTTGCTGCCCTGACCCTCCCTAAACATCACTGACGTCTGGACAAGCAGCTCGGGCTTGCATAGGGTGTTCTCCTGGTCTCACACATACATGGCCCTTGACAAGGACATGGCAAAGCGCAAGCAAACACTGTAAATGCCCGATGCTGCAGAAAGCTTCCAATGACCAGCAAACAGTTCTGAGCCGTTTCACACAAACCGCAAAGCATGCCGACATCAGTGTCGCACCAAGCGCACAACAGGCCTGGGTCCGCACCGAAGCTTAAGCTGACGAAGTCTGTTGCCCACTTTGGGGCTTCTATCAGCGCCTCCACTGCTGGGAAGCTCCCCGTCGTGAGACTCGCTCTGCCCGCTGCCCGCAGGTCAACAAACAACTTTTTGACCCACCAAGAGTAGAAGTCCATCTAGTCGCTGTGGCGTAGCCTGAACCAACAGTCAAAAACGCCTGACTCGCTCTGCCGCACATTCTCCGTGGAATAGCAAAACATCTCAACGCCCAGGAACTTTTGAAGCTCAGCACGCAAGCTTGCCAAATGGGCCTATGAAGGATGTCAGGACAGTGTTCCCGACTGACGCAGAGCACAACACACAAGCCTCCTGGTGATGATTCTCCTAGCAAAATCGATGCGAATAAAATGCTGCACGAAAACAATCCATCAAACAATCCATCAACGTTACCCTCCTCCTCCTGGTGCAAGTGCTCCGCTACATGACCTGGCGTCAACACCCTACGACGTGCATGGAGCTCCGAACAGGCATTGCCGACAAAGAGTCACCGAGGACGTCACTCCAATCTCCATCACACGAACCGTGACAAGACCCTAGAAACACACTTTGGGACCATGCCTGCCAAAACCATGGTGATGGCCAGCAGATGGAACTGCAAAGCACAGCAATATTGGTGCACAATGTCGGCGACAAGTGCGATTCAGATCGTGGAATCGTGTACAAGTAGCTCGCCTTCGGGGTGTTGATGCGATGCAGCACGGTGTGTAGCTTGCTGCTGGAATGGCAGGCCTTCACCAGACAAACCTTGAGCTGCTCTGCATCTAAAGCTTCTCGGCCTCCAACAGCCACTCAAGGGCATAGCCGAAAAGACCCAGGTACCTGCAAGCGGAATGAAGGCAACCGCTTTGGAACATCAAATTTCCAAACTCGCTTCAAGCCGTCCTGAGTCGAATGACCAGTTTCGCCACGACTGTCCAAATCGCCCCAAAGCCAGTTTTGGCGTGAACCTCGCAGGAGCACACAGCACGGCCCCTGATTTGTGTCAGTAGATCTGAAGGCGTGTTTGCAGGCCTTGTCGGCAACGATTGCATGCGAATCCTTGCCTGGCCACTAACGCTAAGTAATCCGCGACATATTGCGGCAGCGCACCTTGCCCAGCCATGACGATCACTCACGTCCGGCGTCCCTGAATTGACACGCCTGACCCAAGCAGTGCAAGAACTTCGCATGCACGGCCGACCAAAAATCCACCAAACTGCCTGGCAATGTCAACGGATAAGCACTCACAAACCGTTCGAGCCAGAAACGTAAATTCGACAGTTACATACACCAATGCAAAAAAACTTCGCATTGATGATGCCGCAGAGATTGTGCGATGCCGCTGAATGGTCTTTCGGCACTGCATCTATGTTGCAAGCCGGCAAGGAAGCGGCTATTTCAACGACTTCAACATCGGATACCATGGTAGCTATCAGTGAGATTCAGCTGTTTTCGGCAAGGAAGATCGAGAGTTGAATGCCCACATTAATTCCTACAAAAGCACGCCAACTCGAACAGCCATCCGCCAAGAATCGGGGCCAAATGCCAAATCATCACTGGCAAGACATGCTTGTTTGAAACCCAAGTTTGGAAACAACCCTGAGTCTGAACTTTTGGTCCAGGTCTTCCTTGACAATGGGGCGAGATGGGCAGGTAGACGTCCGCGCCCGGGGCTGGGACCACCGAAGGCCAAACTTCCAAAACTTTTCTCGCTGTTCAAAATTTGCGGACTTGTCAGCAACCGGGAAGGGCGAAGCACGTTGCGTTGTGAAAAGAACACGCGCAACGCCAAAACTATTTTTACGATGGTTTCTCTCTGCTTCCGGGTCTGAAGTAAAAATTTTTGCAAACCCTAAACCCTTGAATCTGGAAGCAGAAACCCTCAATCCCGAAGTGAACCCCAATACCCATGAACCCCGAACCTGCGAACCCTGAATCCCCAAAGCCTGCAAGCAGAAACGGCTGGACGCAGCATCGGAGGAAACACTGTCTGGCAACATAAAGTTTCTTGCAGGAAGCACACCAACGTGCTTTCATTTTCTGTGGAAGGAAAGACAACCACAATCCCCTTGGCAGGAAACTTTGCACTTCTGTTGTAGGTGGTAGACTGTTGCTCCGTAGACACCGTAGACTGCTGAGAAACTGCGCAAGACTGGGGACCCGCAGCACAATTTCCACAATGGGTGGCAAGCCCAAGAGCTGGAGTTGGGTTTTCGATGATATTAGACAACTCTGCCGAAAAAACAAACAGCAAAAAAAGAGGCCGTGGGAATGCGTTTTTTTTATACTTTTCACATGACCCGAACATGCACAAACTTCTTTCGTGACACGCAGCATCGTGCTCGAAACCGCTCGATTCCATTTCTATCTAGACTTGTGCAATGGCAGACTTTCCGGGGGCTCCGAGGCGATTGTGCAAACTACAGGCCAAGGGCTCAAGCTCAAACTCGAAACGCGCCCCATCACCATCAATCGTCCAGACGGAGAAGTCAAAGTTGGCGATCTACCGGTACGTTTCCTGGAGAGTACATCCGGCGAGGTCGAGCAATTTTGCGACACAGTGCACAAGTGAAAATCGATGTCACTTCAGACTACTTCCAGAATGTAATCGTGAAGGAATGTGCCACCTCGAATTATAAAGGTCTTCCCGAACATTTCCGGCTTGCCAAAGAACCAATGGTAGTATACACTATGCAGCTCATCATCTTGACCGCACTCCCGCCTGACGATGTTCCTGCGGACACTTCAGAGAGGTATGTGCATGTGTTGAAGGTGTGCTTGCACCGCAACAAAAGCCTAGCCAAGGAGTGCATGGACAGAGCATAGTTTTTTGCAGGGTGTTCGAACCCTGGGTTCGAACACCTGGGGGGGGGGGGGGCCGGGGGGGGGGCTCGGAACATAACATTGGAACTCGAGTTGACCCTTGAGTTGAAACATTTGGAACGGAGGTTGAACTCAGAGTTCAAACACCGGTGTTTGAACCCAGGGTTCAAACACTGGTGTTTGAACCCAGGGTTCAAACACCAGTGTTCGAACCCAAGGTTCAAACACCAGTGTTCAAACACCAGTGTTCGAATCCAGGGTTCAAACACCAGTGTTCGAACCAGGGTTCAAACACCAGTGTTCGAACCCAGGGTTCAAACACCAGTGCTCGAACCCAGGGTTCAATCATCGGTGTTCGAACCCTGCTAGTACTACTAATACTATTACTACTATGACTTACGACTAATACTACTAAGACTACACTTCCTAATTAATACTACACTTGCTACTATCTAATACTACCAATACTACTAATACTACTAATACTACTAATACTACTAATACTACTAATACTACTAATACTACTAATACTACTAATACTACTAATACTACTAACACTACTAATACTACTAATACTACTAATACTACTAATACTACTAATACTACTAATACTACTAATACAACTAATACTACTAATACTACTAATACTACTAATACTACTAATACTACTAATATTATTAATACTGTTGATACTAGTACTAATAATACTACTTGTGCTACGAACACTAGGAATACTATTTATACTACTAATACTTCTTCTGCTACTAAAAAGAAGAAGAAGAAAGCCACACGAAATCGCATTTGGGTTGTTAAAAGCAAAGAAAAAATTTTTCAAAGCCATACCAAACCACGGTGTTTGAACCCTGTGTTCGAACACTGGTGTTTGAACCCAGGTTCGAACACCGGTGTTTGAACTCTGGGCTCGAACACTGTTGTTGGAACTCAGGGTTCGAACACTGGTGTTCGAACTCAGAGTTCGAACACTAGTGTTCAACTAATACTACTAATACTACAAACACTGCTGGTACTATTAACACTACTAACACTGATAATACTACTCACTCTACGAACACTAGGAATACTATGAATATTACTAATACTACTAATAATTACTAATATACTAATATTACTAATACAAAAGAAGAAGGAGAAAGCCACACGAAAACGCTTTTGGGGGTTACAAGCGAAGAAAACAAAAGAAATCTTTCAAACCCAGATTTAGAACCCGGGTTTAAAAACCCAGGTTTAAACCCAGGTTTGAAACCCAGGTTCTAACCCAGGTTTGGAACCCAAGTTTAAAGCACCCAGGTTTAACCCAGGTTGAAACCAAGGTTCAAACCGAGGTTAAACCCAGGAGGGCTTCAAGGCAGGATGGTTTGAAGAAAGGCTTGAAGAAGGTCTGAGGAAGAGACCTGAAGGAGAACCTTCTTCGACACGAAAGGAGACGTCCACACGAAATCGCTTAAGGGATTAAAAACGGAAAAAAACAAGCAGAAACATGAAAATTCACACCAAAGCAGCTCAATGGGGAGGCTGCGCCCCCTCCAACCCCCCCGCTTTTTGTAAATTGCAAACTCCCGCCTTTGAAGCCACCTAAACCAAACTAAAACCTTCTTCAACTCCAAACCCATACAAAGCGAAAAATTAACAAAAAGAACAAAGTTTTCGTTGCAATTTTTTTGGCTTGACTGGGCCTCGTCGACTACGGCTGTAGCACTCGGTCCCTACAAACAAACAAACAAACATCAAACTAACAAACTACCAAAAAGCGGTGAAACAGAAGAAGCTCTACGAATGGGCTGCGGCGCACGGGTTTAACCTG